AACAATAATATATAATTATAATAAAAGTTAAAATCCAATGTTTTTTCTTTGCATATACCTCATTAGTAACATGGGAAAGTTTTTTTTTTTTATGTTCACACACATTATCATTTAGTTAAACGAAATGAAAAGATAACTCACCATTATTAATATACTCATTATATTTTTTAAATGATATAAAATAGAACATATGATCAACTTTATTTTATCTTTTTGTTATTCAATAATAAGCATCCAATCTTGTCATCGTTTCTAACAAAAAAAAATATTATTTTTAATCTCCATAAATTTTAAATAAATATAAATATATTTTCATTTGTCATTCCACAAATATGCCAATAGTCTATATTACTTTTTCTCTAACGTGTCTTGATATATTGTGTGACCTAACACCATTTATAACTTAGCAAAATTATTTTTTCACCTTTTGATCTCTTTATAAATTCAAAAAATTCCAAAATATTAAATACATGTGGTATATTAACTTTATAACTAAATTATTATTGTATGTAAACAGAGTCTGTCCTAAGTTTTGGAAGACCGCAAACTAGAAAGAAAAAAATAGTCTGTTTTGCAAAATTTTCATAAAATAATTTTTTATATTTGATAATTATTTTTATATAAAAATAAAGACCATTAACCAATGTTTAGCCTGTTTGGACCGATATAAAATATGCATTTCTTCCAAAAAAATATAATATTTTTATACCAGTCATCAGCTTAGCTTGTCTCTTTCTAATTTTCGGATATTAGCTACCAAATTTTCTACATACCACTAGTTGATTGAACAAAATTTCAAAATTCAATAGTCTTAATAAAAGTATTAAGAAAACCAATCAACTATATCGTTTATGTTCATTTTATTGGCATAAGTTTTTCTTTACATTTGTTAGGAGACCATCAAACAATTTTAAAATTATAAGAACATTATCATAAATTTGTCTCTCATCTATACATCTTCGCCATACATTTTGTAATTACCTTTTTAATCTTTGACACTGATCTGTCACAGTAACTTGAACTTTAATAGCACACGTTAATTACAAAAAAACAAAAATTGTTGCTGGGGTTTTCCATTCTCAGAGACATATGAACTTTTATCTACTACTAGGTATATACTCGCGCTAAACAGCAGAAAATTAATTTAAATGTTTTATTTATATGTTTAATATTAACATTAAACTAACTGTTTAAAATGTATTATTTGATCTGAAAGAGAACAAAGTAATATTGATATTTTGTATATTATGAAAGTATTATGAAAACAAAAACTGATTTATTTATGCGGGTTATTTTTTAATTATCTTTTTATTGGTTTAATGCTATACTTTGATAAAATAAAAATATATTAAAGTTAAATATTATATGTATATTTGAAGAAATATACAAATCTATTAATGAAATTCTGTTTTAGATGCATTTTGTGTCATAGTCACTGTTTATCTAATTTTTACCAGATGTGGATGTAAGACATCACATATGGTGAAACGTGCTTATGTGCAATTCTTCAACTTTAGTAATTACTGCACCTAACCGAATCTTCTCTCACAAAGAGCATAATTCGAGGTATTATCCTTACTGTCTTAAACTGACATCCCTTTAAATTGATATAAAAATTCACTCAAATGACATCCTACTTAATTTCATCATAGTTTCATATTTTTTTTAACTTAAAAACTAATCGCTCACCCATCTAGTTGTTTTTCTCCAAAACATGTTTAAAGTATCTAATGATCTACCACTTCTTGATTATAGACTTTGTGAACATGCATGCACAAAAATATTATTTAGAATAGTGTTTCGAACTTTAAAGTTTTGAAGCTTAATAGTAAAACCATCTTAACGTTAATTATCATTTATCTTTTTTTTGCAAATGTAAGTTTGCTTAGAAAAATATTTGTATTAGATGTTTTGTTGTGTTCAAAGGGACATAAATGGTTGTAATGGTGAGTTGAGGTCGAATTAAAACATTAATAGACACTTGGATGATGTAAAATCATATCTAAGTTGTGAATATAAAAGGTCAAGATTGAAATTAATTCTCATATATATTTATTTTGAACGGAAAATACCTTAAATGTAAAATTTCACAATAAAACTATTCTTTAATACGAAATTTTATTTATTTTATAAAAATCTTTTCATTAATAAAAAACCTTTATGTTAATCTGTTTTATAACAAATAGAAATAATTATTGTTCACTCAAGGCATATTCATAGATGTTTGGCATATTTATATAGTCCTCATATTTAAATGTTATCAGCTTAGGGTTTCTCTTTACTTTGTCTCCTTTGTGAGCTGATATGTTATTTCAATCGTATAATATAAAATATTGATCTTACACATACTAAACTTATATCATCGAAGACTGTCGACAATTACAGTATAAATTTAAAATGTTGAATCTGAAAGAAAATAAAGACGCCAACTATAAAACTCTAAAACTTCTCTTTTTGAGTATATTGATATCTCTTTCTTTTGAATAAAACAAAATACCCTTTTCTGAAATCAAAATCATTTCTCTATCATTATTATACAAAACAATGATCATTTTACAACATCTGAAGTGAAAGAGTCAAATAGAGATTCTAAAACTATGAGTGACATGAATTTGTTAAGTGACATAATTGGAGGAAGAGATCTAGTGAGATTATGCATCTCTCATCTCTTGTAATGACTATGCATCTTTTAGTCTCTTGAGACTTTGTTAATTGGGTAAGTATCTTCTTCATTAGAGTTCTTCACTGCATTATTAATTTTAAGTGTTTTAATGATTCCTATGTTATTTATTTTACGTTATTCTTTTAACAGTCTTTGTCGAAACTAAAATAATGAACTAAATCAAATAGAAACCTCAACTAAGACACTATAAATTGGTTCAGTTTCCACCTGAAAATCACATTTGTATGTTTGCCTTACAAATGCGTATGAATAATAACCAGTTGAAACTTAAAAAAAAATTGATAACAATAATTAATTAATTATTTTTTGTGTTTTTGGATTTATAACTCTTCCAATAAAATTTCAAATTGGGTCTGGAGAGAAACCAAATCCTAAAAACAGTGTAGACTTAACACCTCAAAAGATCCACGACGACGACTACACAAGAAGCCTCACACGAACCCAATCCAAAACTTGGTTTGGTTAAAAAAAGGCCACACTTATTTTTCTTGATCATTCTTATAGATTTATTTTTCAGTTTAGTTCGGTTTATATTTTTAACGAATTTGTTATAGTGAGCAATGCTTTGATGATTTTACAGAGATTACTACTATAGATTAAAGAAAGATAGATTCAAAAGCACAAATACAAATCTCTTGATTAAATATACTTTGATGGCTATTACATTATAAACCAACCACAATACTCACTCTCTCTCTTTTTTTTCTACTCATACAACAAACAAAAGGTACATATAAGATTTTTGGATACCGTGAAAGATAGAGAGATGCAATTTATAAAAATGGTGATGTGTGCGTGCTATATTTAGATTTTTTTGAGGAAATTACAAACCGAGTTAAGAACATTGCTTCCTCGCATGCTCAAGTACTAACTTAGCTACCATGTCCACTGATATACCTTTCAGCTCTGTTTCACAACAATAACAAGACGATTCTAAATTTTATCACATATAGTTACAAGCTGTTGTTTCAAGTTTATGTTAAGATATATCTGAATCATAAGACGTTACAATGCATCAACGAACGATTGTAATAAGTTTGTCGTTTAATCGAAGTTAATATATCCACAAAATTTTATTTTTAAATTTGCTGTTATTTATTATTTGGGTTTGGGTTTGGCAAAAAATAAACTTATTTTTTTTATTTGTTGTTATTTATTATTTGGGTTTGGGTTTGATAAAAAAAATGAAGTTATAATTTTTTTTATTTACTGTTATTTAATATTTGGCTTGAGTTTGGTAAAAATTAAAACAAAGATTAACAAAAAAAATATTTGAGTTTTTAATGGGTTTAAATTAAAAAATAATAAAAATTAGTAGATAATGTGTATTAATTGAAATGTTTTGATTGGTTATTGATTTTGCTGATGTATTAGTTTCTGCTAACTTGAAAAAACTGATGTGTCAAGCTATGAAAAGACTTTGGTGTTATTGTTGTATTGATTGTTTTATCACGAAAAAAAATATTACTGAATTGAAAATAAAAATTGATAAGCATTTTTTCATAAAAACTATAAAAAAATATAAGCTATAAGTCACCAACACTTATTGGTACTATTCATGTTAAAAGAATCGAACTCTTCTTAAGATCATCAAATACAAAAAGAAAAAGAAAAAGAAGATGAGAATGGCAAGCAATATTTTGTAGACTGCATAAACAACTTCTTAGACGTATTTTAGCTTATGAAACTTCAAATGGCAAGCGATTTTTATCTTTTCTATTGTATTAATATTTTTTATGTTTTTAATTTTATTAATAGCTTCTATTACTACATTTTTTAACACTTATAAGTTAAAACCTTTCTTTAATTTTCAACACCCCATAATCGTCTTTTGATCTCTGAAATTATTCTTATCACCATACTAAAAATTTGGTCGCAAATAAGTTAAAGTAAAAAGAATAAAAACATCACTTCCTAAAAGAAACGTACAAAATACAAATCATCAAAATATGATTTTATAGAGTATATAAATATGAAGGGGGAAAAAGAGAGAGTCTGGTGAATAGTTAAAAGAAGAAGATATGAAAACCCATCAAACGTATATATTTAAAAAAAAAAAAAACTTTTCTTTGTCAAATGTATAAATAATTGAAAACAATAGCAAGTCAAGTGCTCTATTCCCACCCATCGATTCCTCTCGGACACTACCAATCCCTCCATACTCTCTCTCTCTCTTTCGACAAAGAAAAAGTCAGCGCCGTCCTTTACGCCATAGTTTGTCTCCTTCTCTCTCTCTCTTTCTCCTCACCAACAGAACCAAAAGCAAAGAGATCGAGCTTTCCTAAATCCCCCAAAAATTAAAAACCCACCATCGATTATGTCTGAAGATTGGGATCTCTTCGCCGTCGTAAGAAGCTGCAGCTCTTCTGTCTCCACGGCAACTATAAACACAAACAACGGAGGAAACTGTAAACAACAAGATCATCCTCCTCTTCCTCTGTTCACACACATCATCGGTGAAGACAGAGACAGAGATTCTTCTTCTTGTAACGAGCTTCAAGATTCTTGCAAACCATTTTTACCCGTTACTACTACTACTACTTGGTCTTCTTCTCCTCTTCCTCTTGCTCCTCCTCTAGTTTCATCAGCATCTCCTAATGTCTTAATGAAACAAGAACAAGGGCTCCTCGAATCACAAGATCAGAAACTTCCTCTTGGTGTTAGGGCTTTTACACCTTCCACAACCATATCTTCTTCTTCTTCTTCTGTCTTTGTTTTCAGAGGTCAACGCGACCAGCTTCTTCAACAACAATCACAAACTCCTCTTCGGTCTAGAAAAAGGTTTTTGATTCGTTCATTGATTAAACCCATGTCTTAAAATTGCAAATTTTTTTTTTTTTTTTTAATTATATTTTTGTGTGTTTTGTTGCTCTAATTAAACAGAAAGAATCAGCAAAAGAGAACAATATGTCATGTAACTCAAGAGAATCTCTCTTCTGATATGTGGGCATGGCGCAAATATGGTCAAAAACCCATCAAAGGCTCTCCTTATCCAAGGTCTAATCTTTTTTTTACTTTTTTCAGAGAAAAAATGGTTTCTTTACCTTTCTTATCAAGAAAATGTGCTAATTAAAAGGGTTTTGATTTTTTTGTTTTTACATACAAAACAGGAATTACTACAGATGCAGTAGCTCAAAAGGATGTTTAGCAAGAAAACAAGTTGAAAGAAGCAATTTAGATCCGAATATCTTCATCGTCACTTACACCGGAGAACACACTCATCCTCGTCCTACTCACCGGAACTCTCTCGCCGGTAGCACTCGTAACAAATCTCAACCCGTTAACCCGATTCCAAAACCAGAACAGTCATCGGTTCAAACCGTTTCTGGATCAAGTACCTTAAAAGAAGAGATTCATCTTTCTCCGACGACACCGTTGAAGGAAAACGATGACGTTCAGGGGACAAACGGAGACGAAGAAGTCAACATGGAAGACGAAGAGTTAGATGAAGTCGAAGAAGAAGAAGAAGAGGAAGAAGAGGAAGAAGAAGATAATGACGTGGATGATCTTTTGATACCGAATTTCGCGGTGAGAGATCGAGATGATTTGTTCTTCGCTGGAAATTTTCCCTCTTGGTCCGCCGGATCCGCCGGAGACGGTGGTGGATGATGAATACGAATATAACAGTTTAAAAACAAAAAAAGTCAGTTTTTATTTATTATTTTATTTTTGTTAAAACTTGACATTTATTGTGTTATTAAAGAATATATACAATAGAGAAAGCGAGGGAGAGCAGACAAAAGACTACTCTACAATTGTTTTTTCGTTTAGACTGATAGCTAAATTTAGAAAATTAGTCTCTAATAATATTATGGGTCGACAAAATTGACATTGCATATACCAAAACTTATTCTTAGCTGCAAATGTATAAATCAGCTTAGGTTTATTTTTCCTATTTTATATGTTTTTTTCCTGTACGGAATGTCATTAGTATGTGATATTTTAGAATTAAAAAGTATAAATACCAAAAAGCAACAAGGTTTTTTGTCAAAACCTTTATTTAAATTGTTATAGAGATAAATATGGGTTGATAACGAAAATAGAGGTAAACATGTTAATAGTATAATTTATCTTGAACAAACAATTAAGCCAATTTAATGTCAGGGCCTAGTTAAACAGATATAGGCAGCGACAACCATGCTAAAAAAAAAAGAAATATGTTAGCATATAATTTGCTTCCATTTAATGTCGAGATAATTAAATTATTATCAGTTTATTGTAATAATTAAAAAATAATCATGTGGGCTATGCAACAGAACAGTTAATTTCAGTTCAGACCGGAAACTACGACTCCGGTTTTCGCTGCTTTTAATCACACGAGACAAGACCCTAAATCTGGCGTCTTTAGTCCCCACTTGTGTGCTTTCACTTCTATTAAATGGTCAACCATTTTTTATTATAAAGTTTTTTTATTTACCATATATGTTATTTTGTCGTAACTCGAAGCGTCGGTCAAACATATTTAATTTCGGGTTATTTTTCCGTATTTGAAAATTCCTGCGTATTATTTAAAACGTCTCTGGAATTAATTAAAAGTAGGGTCGCTATTAACTTATTGATCTCGTTAAAATAAGGCTATTGTGACGAAATAGTTTTTACGATTTTAAAAATTAAAATTTATATAGATAAATATCGTATACTATTATAGTCGGTCCAGATTCTCATGACGAAAGATGGGCATGCAACTTGTTACCGCTCTTCTTATCTTTATTAGTTTTTTTAAAGTGTTTCTTTAGTGAACAAGTATTTAATGTAGCAAAAAAAAATGAAACAAAATTGAGGAAAAAATACTTCCTTTTTTAAAAATATCCGACGTTAGAGTTGGCCATATTTTATATATGGCCCCGGCTCGCAAATAGAAAACATCTATATATATCTTAAATATAAAAAAACGAAAAATTTAATTCAAACTAACGTATTTTAATTAATAAACTGCTTAAAATCAAGGCACAAATGTCATCACACTAACAAATGACAAAACAACAGCAAGGTCCATAATGTTAATTCAACAAAAGCCGTAAAAGCTATAGAAGCCCATTAATCATATAAATTAGGCCCATTTAAGAATCTGGCTTTCGTTTTCTTCCATCTGAAAATGTGAGAGTTGACACTGTAAACACAACACCAAAGCTTCAGAGATTTCGCCGGAGTTAAGGAGAGAGAGAGAGCGATCCAGCGGTTGAGATGTTTCTGCGGGCAATCGGACGGCCATTATTGGCTAAAGTGAAGCAGACGACGGGGATCGTCGGGCTCGACGTGGTCCCGAACGCGAGGGCGGTGCTGATCGATCTCTACACCAAAACCCTAAAGGAGATCCAAGCCGTGCCGGAGGATGAAGGATACCGTAAAGCGGTGGAATCATTCACGCGCCACCGTCTCAATGTGTGCAAGGAAGAAGAAGACTGGGAGGTGATCGAGAAGCGGCTTGGTTGCGGCCAAGTCGAAGAGCTCATCGAAGAGGCACAAGATGAGCTCACACTCATTGGAAAAATGATCGGTCCGTATGCTCTTTACATCTCCTCATATGCGACTTTATTCAATTTTGAATGAGATTTGGGATTAGAATTTCGCTTTGCATTTCTGGTTAGAAAACAATTAGACTATGGTTCGATTTGTATCCAAGAAATGCTTTTGAAAAATGAGAATCTAAAAATCTAGAGGCTTTGTGTATCGTTTAGGTAGCCAAAAACTGGACACAGAGCACTGCAAAGATGACCTTTTTAGTGTTCTTGCTTTGCTTCAATGTCAGATAGGTGTTACTTTGTTCGAAATTAGTGCTCTTGCTTTGCAGTTATCTGTACGTTAGTGGTAATGCTTGTGAGAAGTCTCTTTCTAATGCCGTGATACTTTGTTTGAAGTTCCAGAGATCTTCCTTCTTTCTTCTTCTTCTTCTGATATGTAAATGTAACCGTCTTTTGTAGAAGTAGCGATGATTGATCCTTATCACATCCTTCGGTTGTAGTATTCTATGGAGCAGACTTTCAATGGTCGAGAAGTTTGGCTTATGTATTATGAGTTTTCCCATTTTTCAGCTCTGTTCTTGACCTCTGAATCGTAATTCTTTCTATTTGCATTTGCAGAGTGGGACCCTTGGGGTGTTCCAGATGACTACGAGTGTGAAGTGATCGAGAACGATGCACCAATTCCGAAGCACGTTCCTCAGCACCGACCTGGTCCTCTTCCTGAGGATTTCTACAGAACCCTTGAAGGTCTAATCTCAGAGTCCAAAACAAAGATCCCAGCTTCTAGCTCCAGCGATCCGCAGTTGAAGGAGTAACTTCATCTTTTGTGTACTTGTCGCTTCTTTTGTGTGGCTAGTGTTGTTTCGGAGACGATCCTCTGAATAAGTTGCGTAATAATTTTTCAAAACTATAACAATGTCATACGCTTTTTTCAACAATGTGTTTTATCATTCTTATCAAAGACACCTATGGTAATACAAATGATGTTTCTTCCCCTTTGCAAGAAGTACATTCGCCATTCTTAAAGATATGTACTCGATTCCCATCTCTTACAGTTATATTCTTATCGACTAACCTCGTCACGAGGGACACAAAATCATGGCAGTCCTTACACAGGATCTTGTTCTTGACGACATGAACCTGAGTTTGTGGTGATGTGTACACAAGACCAAACACAGCAGCTTGTTTCGCGCTGTGATAGCTTGCGTTTTCGCTACCTCGGTATGTAAAGCCTGACCTCTCGATCTCACTCTTTATCCAATCTATCTCTGCGTAGATCCCATTCGTTTTCTCAACTGTAGTAACATCCTCACTGACAAAGCTGTGAACTTTTCCTTGAACCTCCACAGTGCTCTTGCTTAGCTTCTTGCTCAAACCCTTCTCGCTCATCAAATCACGAGTCTTTTGAGCTAACTCTGGTTTTCCAGATTCTTCGTATAAGTCTGCTAAAAGGATATAGAAGGCTGGATCAGATGGTGCAAGTGCCAAGCCTTTGTTACCAATATCTTCTCCTAAAGAGAGATTCCCATGGTATCTACAAGCTCTCAACAATGTTTTGAAGATCAGAGCATTGGGTCTTAATGGCATCGTCTCTACAACTCCTCTTGCTTCCTCTAGTCGTCCAGCACGACCTAAGATACCAACTAGAAGAACATAGTGTTCGATCTGTGGCTCAACGTTATGAATCTCTTTCATTGATCGGAAATACTCGAGACCCATCTCGGTTAACCCTCCGTTACTACACGCAGAGAGCAATATCAGGAACGTTACTGAATCTGGCTCGGTTCCTTCCATCCTCATCTCTTCAAATGCAGATAGAGCAGAGGAGAGACAACCGTTTGACGCTAAACCAGATACCAAACCGTTCCAAGAAACCACATCAGGGTTAGCTATCTCTTCAAACGCCTTCTTTGCATCTTCCAAGTTACCACATTTACCATACATGTCAATCAAACTATTCAAAATCGAAACCGAGCTAGAATATCCTGATTTCACGGAGTGACAGTGAAGATGTTTCCCAGTTTCATGAGCTCCCAAGTTAGCTGAAGCTGAGATAAACCCGGGTAAGCTGAACTGATCCATTCCTATACCATCACGAAACATATGATTGATGACACTTAGTGCCATTTCATGCTTATGCAGCTCGTTAAGCCTCGTTACCAAGGTCGTGTACGTAATACTATCTCTCCTCTCCATGGACCTAGCCACGTTCCAGGCATAAGCTACACTATCCGAGCTTGCATACGCATCGACGAGTGAGTTCCCTACTATGATTTCTCCATCTTCGTGCCTTCTGAGTAGATATCCATGAATCTCTGATACCCGACTTAGAGATTTCAATTTGCCGCATGCTCTGAGAACACCAGAGAGAGTAACAGCATTTGGTTCAACCCCTTGTCTTACCATCTCCATCAACAGTCCAAAACAGTCTTTCTCGAACCCGTGATCAACAAGACCAATGATGAAACTTGTCCAAGAAACGACATCTGGTGAGATCATCTCTCTGAAGATTCTCGAAGCTTCTACTTCTGATGCCGAGCACTTCATATACATATCTAAAAGTGCGTTTCCTACATCATTGCTGTCCTCTAATCCGACCTGAATCGTCTGTGAGTGAATCTGCTCGCCTAAAACCAGAGACCGGAGAGAGGAACACAAGGTCAAGATTGCAGAGTATGTAAAGTTATTTGGCTGCAAACCCAAACCTCGCATCTCAAGAAACGTACCAACAGCTTCCTTGGCTCTCAAGTTTTTAACAAACCCTGATACCACAGACGTCCAGAGAAACACATCCTGTTCTTCACTCGAATTCAATACCTTAACAGAATCTTCCATTTTAGAGAAACTCGAGTAGAAATCAACAAGAGATGTCTTCAACACCACATTCATCGGAATCCCCCGAATGATCACATTGCTATGAATCGTTTTACCAAACTCCAAACCTAGAAACGAAGACGCACCTAAAAGCTTAACGAAAGTGAACTCGTTAGGAGAAACACCAGCCTTAATCATCTTAGAGTAAAACTGCAACGCCTCTCTCCATTTACGAGCTTCAACTAGAGAAGATATCATCATCGTCCACGAGATTGTATCAGCATTGTTCTGAAGAGAACTAAACAGCTCACAAGCTTCCTTAAGTCTCCCACACTTTGAATACAAATCAGTCAAGCCGCTTCCTATAACAGAGCTTCCCTCAAACCCAGTCTTTATAACAGAGCCATGAACTCGAGCTCCGTAACTGAGATCTCTTAAACCAGCACAAGATCTTATCACGGAGGAAAATGTGAATTCGTTCGGAACTATTCCAGAAGCTAACGTCTCCTCGAACAACGAAAGCGCCGACACAAACTCTTGGCTCTTGGTATAGGCAGAGATCATAACAGTCCAGGCAAAAACTGTTCTTTGCGACATTTCATCGAACAGGTTACGTGCATTCTTTATCCCGTCCGTTTTCAAGTAAAGACTTAAAAGATTGTTGCAGAACTCGAGATTTTCTACAAGACCCTGCTTGATTACGGGGCAGTGGATTTGTAAACCAGCGCGCGACGAATTCGATTCGCAGAAGGAGAGAATCCGAATGCATGATTGTTGAAGATTACATAATTCGTTATTGCGAGAGCGAAATGCAGAAGCTGCAACTTTGCCCATCATTTTCTTTTTTTTTAAAGAAAAAGGCCGAAACTTTTAATGTTCATTCACATCGCGCGTGGGATTTTAGTCTACTCTCTCATTCATATATATACGCAATATGAACTTGTATAAATATGAATACAAATACAACCAATAAAAAAAAGTACTGCGATAGTAAAATTATAAGCCAAGGATTTTTTTTTTTTTTATCAACTGAGTTATCATTAAAACCACAAAGGATCATAATACATATCATAATACAAAGGCATAATACGAAGGCAGAATACAGATCTTGAGGAATAAATTAACAACCCCAAAAACACAACTAGACATAAAACACAGAGATAAGACTTTAAATCAAACCGAAGTAAACAATAACCGAAAAGAACAAAGTAACAGGATCTAGAAGTAAGAAAGAACCAGCAGAAATTACCAAATCTCACTTAACCTTCGTCCTGGTACATTTATACGAATTACACGCGACCTGCAAAGCCATGAGAACACTGCAAACAACCGTAACTTCTGCGGTAGCCACACACCAAGAGAACCCTGAGCTTGACGAAAGTGAAACTACCTCCAAGAACCACAACTCTAACCCAACCCCGGTTAACGCAGCGAAAGACTAAACTGGTAGTAGCTGCAGAGAGAAACCAAGCTGGAAGACACTAACGGCAGAGAGGAGCACACAAAGAGCCATTAGGAGACCGACTACGAGTAGGAACACCATAGATAAGCACATCCGTAAAAAGGAGCTTCCACGAGTAAGAGAGGAGTCAAAGAAGCAGCATCAAACCGCACAACAACCAAGAACGAGTCACTTGATAAGGAAGATAAGCAAAGGATTTATCTTTAATTTTTAACTGTCAACCAGTTCTGTTTTATCGTTTGTTAATGGTTGGTAAATGTTTTTTTTTTCACCAATAATGGTTGTTAAATGTTGTCTGATTTTTTTTTTGTCTACTGCCTCAAGGTCTCCTAAAAAGGTGTTAATCATTCTGGGAGAGTTGGGTTTACATAATAAAGATGACAAAGGTGGTCTTGAGCACTCCATGCTAACTTGTCCGCCTTAGTGTTCTGCACTCGTGGTATTTTTGAGATTGAGAAAAGCTCAAATTCCTTCCATGATACTTCAAACTCCTCTAGGTGTAGGGAGAATGCTGGCCATCCTTTTGGATCAGTCACCATCTTCAATATTTCTAAACTATCAGTTAATAAAGCCACGTTTTTCTCCCATTGTCGAGCATACCGTGCATTGCCCATATTAGAGCATCTAATTCTGAGTGTAGAGGTGTTAAGCTCCTCTCTATCTTTCGGGCACCCATTAATGTATTCCTGGTACCCGTGTCTTCACAGTACCACCCTAGTCTTGCATTCAAAACGTTCTCTTTCCATGATCCATCTGTATAACAAATAATCTCCTCTCTGATTTGAGGCTCATTCTGAAGCCCTATTGGAGTTTCTGCCCTTATATCCTCCGTTTGTGCGTCGTCCCAGGCATGTGCCTCTGCCATTTCAACCTTTACTATATCTCGGGGGTCTCTGTCTCTGTTTTTGAAAATCTTTTCATTCCGCATTTTCCAGATATACCAAATTATACACGGGTATGCCTTCATGTCGTCATGCTTAGGCAGATTCCAGAATAAATATGCCATATTAGTATACATGGCCTCTCTTGGAAAACAGTCGGGGGGCGTAGGTATTGGCGAAAGTGCCCATACCTGAATTGTCGGAGGACACTCAAATAAGGTATGGTTTATGATTTCCTTGTCTGCACCATATATGCTACATTGGGGATCGCAATTTATTCCTCGAGCTTGCAGCCGTGCTGATACCGCTAAACACCCAGAAAGCACTTGCCACATAAAATATTTAATTTTTGGTGGACACTTAATAGTCCATACCTTTGCATGTAGCTGATTTATGTCGGGCCCAAAAACCTTGAGGATTCCTTTTCATGGTATGTTTGCTCTATTGCATAATCCGATTTAACAGTATATCTCCCTGTCTTAGTGAAATTCCATCCCCAGCGATCATGGCGATACTCCTGTGTTGTTGCCAATCCAGTAATCAGCGGAATGTCCTCCAGAACCATCAATTGTTCCAATAGTGGTATATTCCACGTTGAGGTTTCAGGGTCAATTAGTTGATTGAATGTTAGCTCAAGATAAAAATTAATCCCTTTGCATGTAGCTGATCTCGGGCGTGAGGATGAGATCCATGGATCATTCCATACTGAGATGGAATGTCTTGACCCAACTCTTTTAATAAGTCCTTTTTGTACCAGAGATCTAGCAGTTATGGTACTCTTCCACCCATAGGATGGAGAGAACGACCTTATTGGGTCGATGGGTGTGCCATCCCTAAAATATCTCCCTTTAAACACTCTTGCAAATTGTGAATCTGGGTAATCGATAAGTCGCCATAATTGCTTCGCTAGAAGAGCCGTATTAAAGTCCTCAACCACCTGAAACCCCAGGCCACCTTCATCTTTTGATTTACACAGTTTTTGCCATGCTATCCAATGCATTCCCCGTGATTGACCATTTTTTACTCCACCAAATATTGGCTACCGAGCTTGTTAATTTCGCAGTAATTGCCTTTGGTAGTCTGAAGCAGGACATCGTATATGTCGGGACTGCTATGAGCACTGATTTGATAAGCACCTCTTTCCCTCCTCTCGATAACATTTTCGCTGTCCAGCTATTTGCCTGTTTCTGTTGTCTTTCCAAAATAAAATTAAAGACTTTTGTTTTTGCGCCCCCTAGAGTTTTTGGAATCCCTAAGTATGAACTCATCCCACCTAAGTTGACAATACCTAACGTATTATGTAATAGTTCCTGTGTCGCCGTCGGAACCTTGTGTCCAAATTATATCTATGATTTCATAAAATTTATTTGCTGACCCGATGCTGACTCATATTGCTGTAAGATATGTAGCAGAACCGACGCCTCCGCTTGCGTCGCCTTACAGAAAAATAAACTGTCATCCGTAAAAAATAGATGGGAGATCGAGGGGCCCGCACGAGCAATCTTAATACCAGTGAGTAACTTATCTTTTTCTGCTCTCTTCACATTAGCGATTAACACTTCCGTACAAAGTATAAAGAGATAAGGTGATAAAGGATCCTCTTGTCTAAGTCTCCTTTTTGGTATCACATTACCCCGTGCTCTCCCATTTATTAGTACCCTGTACTGAACTGATTCAATACACCACATCATCCAACTAATCCCTTTTTATGTGAAACCCAATTTCTTCAGTAGATGTCTAATGAAGGTCCATTCTACCCGATCATAGGCCTTACTTATGTCCGTTTTGACCGCCATAAAATGTTTCTTACAAGAGTTATTTGTTCTCAACCCATGGAACATTTCCTGTGCTATTAAAATATTATATGATATTAACCGCCCTAATACAAATGCCGACTGTGTTTCCGATACCAACCGTGGTAATAACTTCCGCAATCTTTGACATAAAACCTTCGATATTATCTTATATCCTACATTACAGAGGCTTATGAGTCTTAATTCTGTCATCCTGGTTGGTCTCTCTGTTTTTGGAATTAGACATATATTTGTTATATTCAGTCTCTTATCAAATCGTCCTGACTCAAAAAACCGATTCACTTGATTTACAACATCATCCTTAATAATATCCCATGATTTCTGAAAGAATAATGTTGTCATTCCATATGGACCCGGGGCTTTTGTCAAATGCATCATAAATAAGGCCTCCTTCACTTCTGTCTCCGTTGCCGGTTTTGTGAGCTCATCGTTTTCCTGTTCCGTCACTTGCGAGTCTATTTCTCTTAAAATATTCTCAATATCCGTTGGTAAAGTGGATAAAAAGTTCTGAAAAGTAATCTACTGCTACTTGCTCAATCTGTCTATCCCCAGTTATCCAACTAGTCTATGAATAAAAATAAAGGAAATTGTTTACGAACAGCACTTGTTCAAATCTTTCTTTAGAGCGGTTAGCTCATTTTGTGATGGCATGGTAATATTTTGTGTTGAGATCCCCACATCGATTCCAGAGATTTTGACTTTTCTGTTGCTAATATTCCTCCTCTTCCTGGTATGCTTCCCTAAGCTTTTGAGTAGTTTTATTAAGCTCATCTTGGGTATATGTATCATCCGTCTGCATATCCTCCAATTGCTGTTGTAACTCTTCAATCTTAGTTCTGCCAAAAGGTTTGCAATTTTGTCGCCATTTGGATATTTCATGTCTACAGGTAACAATCCTATCCGTCAGAGACTGGCCTGTTTGATTATCATAGTCCTTCCAGCCTCGTGATATTGCGTCCATTAAACCCTCCCGGTCAATCCATCTCCTATTGAACCGAAATTGATTTTTCCGTTTAATTTTCCGTGATTCGATTGTTTCTACAATAGGTCGATGGTCTGAACCTATCATTTTTAAATATTCCACATATGAGTATGGGAATAGGTCGTGCCATTCCTCTGTGGCGAGTCTTCTGACCAATCTACATTAGACATTTTGTCCATTACGTCGGCCCTTCCAAGACAGCGTGTTTCCCCGATTTGGAAAATCTATGAATCCACAATTACTAATCATTGTGTTAAAACCAATAAAAGGGAGGCTTGTCTAATTCGCCCACTCTACTTCTCATGATTTCCAGTGATTTCATTAAAGTCGCCAATTAAAAACTATAGCCCATTTCGTGTTAAAACCGTTCTTGTTATCCTTTCCCAAACTTGATCTCTTAGTCTCTGGACTGGATCACCATATACGAAAGACATATAAATTAAATTTCCTTTAAAAGATGCTTCTATATCAATAATCATTTTCTTATAAAATAGAACTTTAACATCAAAGTTTTTATTACATAACAATGCCAGACCTCCATTGGCACTACATGGATCAACTGTACATAAAAAATCATACCAAAAGTGCAATTGAAATTGCTCAACAAAATTAAAACACTGCTTAGTTTCAGAAAAAAATAGAAAATCCGGTCTGAATTTTCGCCAAACCTCCCTGAGATAGCTTATTGTGTACCTATTAGCCAGACCATGACAATTCCAACTCAGAATCCGCATTAAGCTTTGTAATTATCTTCATGCCCCTCCGTCGGAGCCTCACTCTTCCTCTGCTGCACCGTCCCTTTTTCTCCCCATGCTTGAGTTCCTTTAATTTCCCCTTCTTCTTTGGTGTATTACCATGCATCAGGTGCCTTCGTCTTCTCGTGGGGGATGATTTCCTCGCCACCTAATCCGAGTGACTGTTCTCCCTGATCTAAATGCAGCGCCTCAATCTCAATGCTCTCAATACACAGAGTTTGATCCTCACCGTCTTGCTCCTCCAGCGTATCCTCTAGGTCAGCGATGTCAAAATCACCCGAAATATCATCCATCATCCCATCCTGCTCTGAACCAACATCATCGATCTGAACTTCCCCTCCTCCTCCTTCCTCTGCTTCCTGGATCTCTGTCACCGGTACTGCCATTGCTGCTTTCTCACTTTCCACCGCGGGAACCTGATTTCTCCTTGTGACTAAGTCTTCCATGCTCATAGAATTCTCCTCAAACAATAATCCTTTCCTAACCTTCTTAGCGGATTGTTGTTGTGGAAGGCTATTTTTACCGCTTCCCTCATTTGTATTCTCTGTCCTCTGTTCCCGTTGCTCCATTCTACACTCCTCAATAGAGTGGTGGATAGTCCTAGAAACCCCACCAAACCGCTTCCTGACATCCCTCGGTGGCATTGGTCTAGAAGACCTCCTCAATATATCGCTCTTCATCTTCTGTTATAATCCCCCTGATCGAGTTAACCCCTGCTCCTCACGGGTCTCTATTACTTTATCTTTCCCTTTGGTGTCTTCTGTTTGTGAAACATCCTTAACACTTTCCCCATGACCCGCAAGAGCTCCTTTGTAACTTTTTGCTCCCCCCTCCGGTTTCTCCTCTGTGAACCGCATCTCATCTCTTCTCTCCCTCTTTGGTAACACTGCAGGACACCTGCTGGAGTCATGGCAGAGGCTCAAGCATTCCTGACAGTAGCCATGCAACCGCTCATAACGGAGAATTACACTTGTCTCTTCACCACTATGGAACTCCACGGTTGTTTCAAATAAAATTGGTTTGAACCCATCAATAGCGATTTATGCTCTTCCTCCATCCAGGTCCACTTGTTTCACTGTCCCAATAGCTTCTCATATGCTTCGAAATGTAGGCTCAGCCCAGAAATAGAGGGGGACGCCCATCATTCGAACCCAAAAAGTAATTACCAATGGATAATTGCTATCCATTATTGGCTCCCATCGAAAAAGAGCTACCATCCATCCATAAAAGTGTAGAGGCTCCATTGCTAAGACGGCCTGGATATCTTCCTCAGTGTCAAAATCGAATTGAAACCTCCCCATTCCCAAGTCTGCTCCCGCCACCCGCTCTTCAACCTTCCAGATCCGTGGAAGCATAAAAAGGAGCACCTTCATGTCCTGAATTGTTGGATTTATACACCCACCAATAAGGGTGCGATTATATCCCTTGATAAGCTCTGTGTTATCAAAGCGGGGTACTATGATCCTTAGCCGTGGCGCAAACGTATCTTTTCTCTTGCTTGAACCACCATTGACCATTTGGTACGCTTGAGACATCATTGAGCTTGATAGATCAAATTTGAAATATATCCGTGAGTATTGTAAAAAATCAGCTTGAGGCAAATGTGAACTTCTAATACTCTCAACGCCCTCTTTTATAGAATGCTCATCCACTTCTGTAACCCCATGTAAAAAACCCCGAATTAACGCCCGATGTAGACCAAAGAGTTTTCCATATAGTGCACCAATAGGTGACTCAGAAAGTGCACCAATTGGGTCTCCACTTAAAAAAAGTAATACCAATATATAACATTAAATAATCGGAAAGTGTATTATTGACTAAATTATTATATATTTTTAGATTGATGTTAAATACTTATTTTTTCAAACATTCAACTGTAGGAATATAAACTTTTTAATATGATTAAAAAATTTTGTTATTAAACTTGGGATAAAAACACGACAACTAATAATAAACTTTACTTATTTTAGTCTAATAAATAATAAAAATAATCATAATTTTATATTTTTTACACAGTTAAAAAATAGAAATATTAAAAGATACAACTTATAATTAAAAAAGAGTAGCGGTTATGAAAGATTATAATGAAAAGACGAAAAGACACAAATTATATTTGTGATGAAAAAATACAATTATTTATAATTAAAAAGACATTACTTTTGAGAATAAAAATATATTGTTTTTCAGTTATAATGAAAAAACGCAAATGAAAAGATGCAACCACAAATTTTGAAATGATAAGATTTACTGAAATACAGGTGGCATTTATTTGGATTGTTATTATTAAATTATTGGCCAACAAGATTTTTCACTTAAAACTGAATATATAAGACTGTTTTCTGTGTTTTGATTTGTCACCTGTGACTATTATAGTAAAAAAGTAAAAATCAGACTCAAATGATTTTTGTATGTAGTTTTGAGAAATATAAATAGTTTTGAACAGACATAAATTACATTTATGATGAAAAATACAATTATTTATAATAAAAAGAAGCAACCATTAATTTTCAAAAGACACAATTTATGAAAGTGTAAGTGGCATTTATTCTATTTTAAGGATTTGATAAAGAATGGAAGCAATGTACAAATGAAAACATAGTGACTATGCAACTTGACTTTGTGAGAGAGTTAAATGTAGCCAAAAATCTTATTCTCGTTGCAAAAATACCAAATCCTAAACTAAAGCATGACAAATGGATGAGCAAATGAGTCATTATTGATGGAAAATTGCAAACCTTAGCAAAGAGAAGCATGTAAATTTTACGGCGATTGCGAATATATAACCAATAATTCAACTAAAAGAAAAACGATATCTGATTTTAGAGGAGAAGGGTTGGAGAAATTAGATGCATCCACATATGGTCTTTTCGATCAAGGAGAGGTTTGGCTAACCTGAAGCTTTGAGAAAGTCGACCATGACTGTACTCTTTATTCCATATTCCTTTGTTCGGCACGTTATTCTCTGTTTGTAAAAAAGTAAAAATCAGACTCAAATAACTTTTTTTACGTGATTTTGAGCAACATAAATAATTTTGAAGAGACGAATTACAGTTGTGATGAAAAAACACAACTATTTAGAATGAAGAAACGCAACCATTTATAGTGAAAAGATGCAACTATTTGCGAAAAAGACGCAACCATAAATATCGAAAAGACAATTTTTCAAAGTGCAGTTGACATTTTTTCAGATTGTTATTATAAATAGATTCTAATTTATAGTTTCATGAGTATAATTCTACAAAATTATGAAATCATTCCACACAATTATTAGCTTCACTACAAAATTACAATTAAGATTCCATAGTTAACCGGGTTTCCACTTGTCACATTGAGTTTCAGATTATATTCAAAAAGTTACTAAAGTTTGCTTCTTGAAAATGGTCATGGAAGTTTGTGATCATTCAAAGCCTAAGACACAAAATGTATTTTTAGTATTACAAAGATTGGAGAAGAAATACGCTCACTTAAAAGATTATGCTTCGTGAACACATGTTTGGTGTAATCTTTGGATATATTAAAGTAAGATCTTTCCGCTAATACGACATCGACAATCACTGTTGCTTGAGAAGATCCAATTGCTTCTCTTACCACCAAGAATCATTAAGATACGGTTAGATTTGTGCAATAGCCAAAGCTAAGTCGCCATCAAACTGAAATTCAAGAAATGGTAGGAATATATGCTATATAGCTAAATCAAAATCAAAGAAGTAGGAAGAAGAACAAAAAGATTTTAGGTAATGTTCTGAATTATGAAATTTTTATATTTGTATTACTTGATAAATTCTAATTAGGAGTTTAGCCCACACGCATGTGCATGCATAAACAGTTTAAAATTTTTAATTACATAAATATAATATTTAAATCGTTATAAATATTTTATTTTTTGTAATATATAAAAAAATTAGGTAGGGCGATTAAATTATAGGCCCTAATAGCAAAATATGATATAATTTTAACTAAACATTTCATTATAACAAAATGTCCATTTTATTATGTTAAAGGGCCAAATGAATCAGATCCGTAGATAGCTGGTTGAGCGGGTTACCTGCTGCGGATTTGCGGATCAGGCGTACATACCTGCAAATTTCACCATCTTCTTCGTCTTCAATTAATCTTCCTCAATTTATCCAGTTATTTGGCCTCTAAATTCTCGAAGACTTCTTTGTGTAAAACAAATATTTGAACTAAAATAAATTAAATATAGAAAATTATTTGAACTTAAATATATTCTGACTTCTCTTTGTATATTTGTTTAGCTTATGTTTCGTGTGGACAACAAAAATGGGCTCTTTAGTTAAACATTGTTAGATTAACGTTACTTTGGATTATATAGTCGGTGTATGTGATGAAGACAATTCTCATAATTTTTATACAATTTGATGATACAATTAATGTTTCTTTGGATTATATTGTGGAAAGACAAACTCAAGAAGAATATTAAAAATAGATAATCATACTTCGGTTAACAAAATGTGGTATACTCCAACTTCTCTTTATATATTTGTTTAGCTTATGTTTTGTGTAGACAACATAAATGGGTTCTTTAGTTAAACATTAATTGTTAGATTAATGTTACTTTTGATTATATAGTCGGTGCATGTGATGAATATATAATTTTTATACAATTTAACGTGTACAAATTTGTACATGTAATAAAAAAAATATAACATATGTTTTGTGCATGTGATAAAAAACGACGGTTTACAATTTATACTAATAATTAAATATTTTATATTTTTCAGTTTTCATAAAATAATTATTTAAACTAAAATAAATTAAACACATAATTTTTTTGCTATGTCATAATCTATATGTGTTAGCAAATGTTATGTCACAATTACATCATCATTACACATCATTATTTTCATGTCATATTTAGTTAGGTTAAATTAATGTTTTAACCAATGAAATTAAAATAAATCAGCATATTTTATTAAACTGCATTGTCAATTAATAGGTAGAAGATTAACGATAGTCGACGGGAGGATAAAAAAGGGATTTCCTTAACACTGTAATAACATCCATTTATTCGGCTAAACTGTTCAAAAGACTCGTTGACGCAAATTAAAGATTAAAATAGTTCCGAACCAATAGAGTGAATCTTGAAAGTCTTTTCTCGACATCCGGACAAAGAAATTGTTTGGTTATAATAGGATTCAGCGTTCACGGGACAAAGAACAAGTAAGTCCGTGAACACAATATTATATATAAATTTAACATCACATATTTTTAAGAGTTATATATGTGTGTATATATCAATACTTGCATGTACATTGTACATTTGTACTCATGACTGTTCTTCCACTTGGAACTACATTTGAAGGAAACAAACAAGAAAAAGCAGCATAGTACCAAAAGAAAAAAAAACAAGAAAAAGCAGCATTTCATTTTGGATGGCGTTATGACCCAAATGAATAATTCTTGCATTTTCAAATAGTAGATTTTCTTTTACAATAATATATACGTAGAAAATTTTACTACCAATCACGAATTTGGGGGTTCTATTTTTTTAGTTTTATGTTAGGTTTGGATGTTCTTAGAATTTAAATTTTACTGTCGAAATTCCGAATAATTGCATCAAAAGAAAAGGTAAAACACTTGACATGTATACTGTACAAGTTACGCGAAACGAGTTTAGAATTTTGGAGTTGTGGAAATTGTTTGCACATGATCATTGAAAGAGAAGGTTAGTCACATATATTACACATTTGTTTATTGTTGATTGTTGTCTACAATTCACATTTGCATACTACTGTATTTTAAGTTCAAGCTAAAGCAATTGTTTTCATTTTTCAATAGAATTAGAAAAAGAATTGAATTGTGCTTTTTTATATATATAAAAAAAGGAGAGAGAAGGAGATGGAGACCCGTGAAGACCAAGGTTTGTCTCCAAGCTACAAGTTAAACAAGGCGACTCTTCCTTGCCACGATTTATCACATTGTGCCCACCAAACCCTACTGATCTAAGCTCTATACGTATACGTGTTCCACATATTAACTCGATTTAGTTTCTCTATTTTCTTTGGTCATTTAGTTTTGTAGACGACTCACGAAATGGACTCTCCAAAGCTAAAACATACCAGTTAAAAATATCTAGTCACATACCTTGAGAAGATATTTTACAATCACCACTTCATTAGAGCTAAGGAATTAAACTAGTGTTGGTTGGTCAATCTATGGTACTTATTTCGTTTTCTTGAGATATAGAGGATCTTAAATTTGATGTACATACATAGCTAGTTAGCTACAAGTCAAATTAATTCTATCCCAAGATCTTTCTTAAAAGCATTTTGAAAATAAAATGTAATCGACAGGTCTACATGACGTTGAATATGACCTCTCACCTCACGTATGTGACTTGTCTCCATATAGCAAACACCTAAGTTAACATTGAAAAGAAATAGAGGAATATATTGAATTATTGATCCCTAATTCGTACATCAATGAAAGAAACTATAATATAGTTCCAAGAGATTATGGATTAATACCGAGAAGATGTTTTCTTTTTCAATTTTACTTAGGTTGATCAGTATGAAGA